CGGCTTAACTAATCATTTTCTTAGAAGGAACTAAAATTTTTGGGGTATTGTATGAAACAAGAAGAAAAATATTCTTAGTCAATATATAAGTCTTGAGAAATTTGAAGATTTACTATTCATTTTTTTTTAATTGATAGTCATCGATGTTGATCTTTTCGTATTTATCTGGACGTTCTTAATGGTTCCTTCCAATGGTATTCTTTTGGTAATATAGTTGGATACGGTGTAGAATTTAATGCATGTACAGCTGGAGGACGTCTTTTAACTGCTGGTCTCTATATATTAAGTTTAATATTAGTAGCATCATATACTGCTAATTTAGCATCAGATCTGACTATACAGAAATCGCAGTTTGTTGTATCAGGAATAGATGATATTAAAAATGGAAAAGTACCAATCAATCGTGTTGGTATTTTCGCCGGTACAGCTACGGAAGACTATATTAAAACAGTGATGTCTCCAGGAAGTCGAAATTATTATTCAGTACACTCTTACCAAGAATTATGGGATTCTTTAGAAGCTGGCATAATCGACGTTTTTTTGGTAGATGAAGGAGTGGCTCAATATGGCATCAATAATGTTTATTGCGATTTAACTCTAGTTGGCGATAGTGTTGCTCCAAGTGCTTGGGGCATTGTTACTCCTAAAGAGTGGCTATATGCAACAGATTTAGATATTAGTGTATTATCACTTAGAGAAGCAGGGAAACTTGATGAATTGAAACAAAAATGGTATCAAGCACGAACTTGTACCGATTCAACGCTAACATCAACATCTTTTGACATCGAAGCAATTACTGGATTGCTTGTTATTTTTGTAGTTATTACTGTTGTAGCATTATTATTATTTTTATGGACTGAAAGACGTAATATTAAAAAATATTTATCACAATTAATACATGGGCAAGACTCATCAGTCGAAGAAAGATACTCTGCAGCAAGAAATTCAAACGAAAATTATGAACATGAACAAAATCATCAAACAATGTCGCAAGATACTTCATACTTTTAAAATAGAAACTGTCTCTCTTCATTTACAATAAAGAACTTTCATTTTATTTTTAACCGATATATGGGCTTGCTCAACCATAGGGTATCCCGATTCTTATTTGTTTATGTAGCCTCATTTAAACATCAAGAAAATGTGATTTTTTTACTAGTTATAGTACGCATAAAGGGTGAGCCAAAAGTCTTGGTCGTTCTTAGAAAAATTGTTCGTTCTCCCTTATTGCAAATCCAAAAACGCTCAAAATTGGGCATCTTATTCCTTTTAACTAGACGAATATTACCCTAAATTTTCAGATCTCTAGTCCTTATTATAGGGGTGATATATAGGTTCGTATGATAGAGAAGATTTTTTTTTTCATGTCGCAAAAAAGTAAAAAAAAAGTTTATCCAAAAGAAATGTCTAGAATAATTAATTTTCACTATTAATACAATAACAAACAACAGAATGTTTTACATTTTCATAAACCATTACAATCTTTTTATTGTTGACTGAGTAACCTTCTCTGTTGATTAAACATTGCAATTTTCTTAGTATTGAATTCATCAATTTTGAGCACATTTGTCGATTGATTGTTCTTCAAATCTCTATAATTTTGTTTTTCAACATCGCTGGAGTTAAAATTTGTTGTCTAATATTTTTTATATATTTTCGCAACATTAGTATTTAAACAATCGTAAAATGAGAAATTGTTGAAACAGTTTTGTCGAAAATGAATAGTGGACAATGGTCATATGTGAATAAGCATTCAATCAGAGTTAAAGATATTTAAATAAATATACCATAAACATTAATCTTAAGGTATAATTCGATTCGTTATAATTCTCTTAATATTTCCTTATTCTGATGTCTTTCTTTTTACTTTTTCTTTTATTCTGTTTATGTAACCCCTCGCTATTCTGATTTTAGGACATGGAAAAAAATTTTCTCTATCATACAAACCTATATATCTCCCCTATAATAAGGACTAGAGATCTGAAAATTTAGGGTAATATTCGTCTAGTTAAAAGGGATAAGATGCCCAATTTTGAGCGTTTTTGGATTTGTAATAAGGGAGAACGAACAATTTTTCTAAGAACGACCAAGACTTTTGGCTCACCCTTTACTTGTACTATTGAAAATAAATTTAATAGTACTATAACTTATGAATGAAATAGAAAGTTGTACCTTACCAAAACAACAATGGCATATCAATTAAAAGTTTTTGCTCTTCGTTGTAAGTATAAAGCAACTGATAAGATCTTAAATAACACGTGTTTTTTTAGATCCATCGGCGAATTGAAAATGAACCTTGTATAACAGAGATATAATTCGATAAAATTCAATAGCAGAGGATATTCGTTTACAAGTTCAACATATACAGGTGAAATAGATTACTTGATCTTTGTCTTAGTCATTTATAAACATATTTACCAACATCTATTCAAGTTTGATTTGATCCTTTTCAGTCTAATCGATTATTATCTATTTGATTTAGAAAAAAAATACAACAGGTTCAATTTATGATCTTAAAAGATGTCCTTGAACAAATATACTTGATACACCTACGTTTTATTCAACAGTTCGTCACTCATTATCGTGAACAGTATCTGCACAATTGTATAGTTTTTCATCAACTTGTTGTGCTATGGGAAGTCATTCAAAACCAGATGAAATTCTTATATATGATAAAGATGAACTTATCTTATACAATGGTAATAGTACTTTAGTAAGTAATTAGTTTTTTATTTTTATTGTTTTTTTTAAATAATTTAATAAATTTAGAGTGAAAATTTATCACGATTGACTATAAAAGATGGTTTTTCTATCAAGTATTGCTTGGTGTTCAATCCGTGATTATTTTTTTTTGTTTTGAGTTGTATAACTCGTGTATTATTTGATACAGATTTAGATATAAATACTACGATTAAAAAATTCATGGTACTCAATCAAATCATCTTATTTCTTTGACTTATATTGTACAAGATAAAAGTTTTTTATTTGTTGTCATAATTCAAAAAGAAATTATATGACAATATGTTTCATTAACAAAATAGAATTTAATAAAAATTTGGTCAAAAGAAAACTTAGTTAATACAGATGATGCTGGTAAAATATAAATAAATGATATTTTGATTATTACTATTTTAGATTTTCAATGTATTCGTGTTAATCTATCTGGTTCACGATTTGGTCTTGTTATTAAAAATAAAAACGATCAATTTCGTTTTGTTCTTTATCCAATGGATTTAACACATATATGGTGCAATTCTAATTATTCCTTCACTATTACGATTAAAAGAACATCAAAATATTAATTTTATACTTTATTTAACATCATTTATTGATGATCGTTGGTAGTTACTTATTTATGGAAATGAAATTTATAAACATATTCTTTAACGTGTTATTTGAAAGAATAGATAAATAAAAACTTTTCGAACAATAATCAATGACTATAATATAAGACAAGAAGGAGAAGGTCGAGATACATAATTGATTGAAAATGCTAAGTTTTGGGATAAATCAGAATGCTACTAAGTTTTTTTTGATAATTAAAAAGATGATAACACTTATTAGAAACAAAGCAAAAAAGTATTAGTGCATTTGCTATTTAAATAGTATATCAAATCATTAAACATATATATGTATATATATATCAGAAACTTGTATCCTTTTAACTACTTAAAATCTAATCTAATTGTATGAAAAATTAAAATTCAATATTATCAAATTTTGATATCGACAACTTGATACTTTAATGAATGTAGTATTTAGAATTTAAGAGAGTATTTAAAAAGTTAAATTGTAAAATGAATACAAACGAAATTTACACAAAATTTTCTACCAGTTAATATCAGAATGAATTATTTTGATACAATCTAACTAAAACAACAGAAAATTGAATCTGTGACATTTATTATCTCATATTATGTCGAGTCAAAGATACAGCTTAGAGTATGAGAATTTTAATATCTTATAGTTTTCATTATCGCAAGCATTCAAAAACATTGTTCTGTAAATGGAAAGGACAATGTATGGTGAAAAAAAAATAACGATCACTTAAATTAGTATTCATAATTGTCATTTAGCTTTATTCCAAAAAACAAAAGCTATCAAATATGTTAAAAAAATGAGATTCATGTGAGCACAAAAGGATAATTAATGATTATCATAAAAAATTTCATTTTTGACTCTTATAAACGTTACATTGACGTATGAAATTAATGAATAGAAATAGCACCACCATTTTATCGCGATGTTGCTCGTCAGGAAGAATCATAAAGTTTTGTATTATTGTTTATGAAGCTGTTAAACAAGAATCATACGCAATGTTCGATAGCATCAAAATCGAATAAGTATAGCGATGATCAAATTCTATTACATACATTTATTACAATCGAACGTATGTAAATATATTATTTCATTATATGTATCAGATACATCACCTATTGATAATGGATTATGGTTAGCATCACATTTATTTTTATCCAACACTTCTCTCATCATGTTTGGCGTACATTTTTCAACTTACTATCGTGCTGCTTATACATTTGAAGGTGTGTGCCTGATGATGCATATTATGAACGAATATTTGACTTATTTCCTTTGTTACCCCCATGTCACCTTCGTTCCCCGCAGTGTATACAAAAAGATGGTTCTACCAGTTAATAAAGCTTTCATGCAGATTGAAACAAGATTTTTGAACTTACAATCAATTGTACTTCGAAAATGTTCACTAACCTTTCTGTTACATTTACTTAAGTATCATCGACAATTGCAAGAGCTCAGCTTTAGTGTGAGCAATCCTTGGCTACCTGATAAACATTCATTAATGAATGTTAATCAAAAGTAAGCTTATTTTCTTGAACTCAGAGTAATAATTAAACGCACTTATTCATATTATCGTAAAGGATTATTGTTGCCAGTGAATCATTTCTGAATTGATAATATCCTTTATTTCATTTATGGGTGTGGATGAGGGGTGTGAGTATACTGGTGACGAAAGAAAAGATACACACCCACACTCACATTCTCAAAATTAAATTGATATTCTAATGTATGAGTAAATCGTAAATGAAGATTAGAGGAAAAAATTTTTTTTCTAACTGTATATAAGTTGCTGGATGCTCATCCGATCTGAGTCGATACCTTTTTTCTTCTGTCGTTGTTGATAAGTTTATTTTCAATCGGAGAAGATAAAATATATTAAGTAAAATATAGCGAGACAACTAAATGTTTTTCTTTCAAAATAAAAATGACCGACCAAAATAATATTTTCTTTCATTTATTTTTAGTAGATCATTTGAACAAGAAAATTTTATTTAAGAAAATAGTTTTGCAGAAAAAATCCGAACGTCTATTCTCGCAAATAATTGCTTGATCATTATTATCATTCGATGATGAATAAACTTGATCTAATTCATTTATTGTTGCATTTCCATATTCTCGAATTATTTTACCATCTTGTTTTATTGTTTTACAATGTTTATCGCCATATATTTTACTTATTGTTTCAGTTTTATTATTTTCATTTTGATTTGATGATTATTCAATTTATTTTTAACAATGCACTTTTCCGATGGTATGGTTTCTCGTTTCCTTGTCGTTATTATAAAAGTTCTTAGATATGCTCCATTAAGACCTTGTTTTTCTATAATAGAATCAAGATTTTCATCACCATGATGTATATTTGCAAACGATATTAATTGAAGAAAATTCATCATTTTCAGAATAGATTTTTGTTTTGTTTTTGCTTTGAAAATCTTGTTTAAGAATCTCATCTGTTAGACTAGTTGATGACTGAGGATTTTTATTGTTAAAATCTTGTGAAGGAATTCAAAATGTAGTTGAGAAATTTTTCAATTGGGAAAAATAAACCATTGAATAGAAAATCATCATCATTATTATCTTCCATTTTAGTTTTTAGAATGAAAAGTTATTCCTCATTGTTAATTTTTTTAATTTAAATATGAAGAAATCTATAAAACGTATATCTTTCGGTATTTAATTATCTCTTAGTTCTATTGATGACTTCATTCTATAGTGTAATGTCGGCATACCTAGATCATTATGAGTGAATATAATTTCAAGTATATGTGAAACTATTTTCTCTATTTTCTATAATTCAACAAAACGAAACAATTCTATTTTGACAACAATCGATTCGAATCTATAAAGAAGAATCTCACCCGCCAACTATGTGTTCTCGAAGAAACTAACAACCATATTGCATTCCACTGGATAAAATTTGTTATCACGAAGCATGTAATCACATTAACACATATTAGATACTGACCAATGTCTTTCGATATAAAACCTAGTGAGCAAAAATCAACGCTGCACTAGCATTCATTTCGACGCTTAGGTTTCCACATTTGTTATTATGAAATGGTGCTCTGGCAAGTCAACGTTTCGACCGGCTCGCCTATTTTCGTCATCGCAACATGTATGTGATCAGTGTTGATGATTTACCTCTAGGTAAATTTGTAATAAGCAACTTGGTTTGTCAATGTGCAGAGTATGGTATTTTGACTAACTCCACACGTTCCATAAGAGAACAGGTCATCGGAGGAGGACGTCAGAACAACAGATGAATGTTGATAAATTATTAGAGAGTTTAAATCAGAAACCATAGTTATGAACTGCGAGGTTTTAAACAACGAAATGTTTTGAAAAGTTTATAGTTTGCGGAAAACGTGTCACTATAAATTGTGTAAGATTTCTATACGAAGGAAATAAGATCTTGAAACATTCACGATCATTTCATAATTGTTTTTAAATGAGAATTCTATAAATTGTATTAGATTCACTGAAAGAATCTTTTCAGATACTGGTAAACAGTGTCGAAAACAAAGAGACTTTGCAAAAGTGTTTATCGGAGTGATCAATATAGAAAATGATTATCGTATACTCTTTTCGATAGTACCAGATTCATCTGTGTAACAAAAAGCTTGGATTTATTATTCCTCGAGTATATCCCTAACTGATAGGTAAACTTCGTTTGAAAACAGCATTATTCGAAAACTGATCATAAAAAATACAAAATCTTTTTCAATGTTGTTTATATTTAAAATCTTTCGCTCATTCATTTAGCCTAACCATCAAAGAGTCACTTTAAATTTCGTCTATACATAATCCATATGGTCAACAAGCTTGATTGAATAATTTTCTTCTAACTAAAAGTTACTATTGAACCAAAAGAATAAGTTAAATAACACAACCTCTTTGAATATCATTATCCAATTATTCGACAATAAAAGTCTTGCCCGTCTTGATATGAATTTTTTATTTTATTTTTGACGTATGAGAATACAATACAGCACACACATATACAGAAGAGTTCGAGACATTTACGCAGTACATAGCAGTGTTATAAGTGTTTGCTTGTTCTTTGAGCAAAGTAAAAATATGTGAATACATCTATTTTTGGATGACCTATTGAGAGATTAGATGGCTAGTATTAAATGAGTTCGAGTTTATGGCTTTTGACCATTCAGAGAGAAGAACTTCAGCTATGCTCCGTCAGCGGCCAATACCAAGAATACTGAGCACGACATTTCGAATTGCCATTCATTCACTAGAAATTCGTCAGTTTGAAAGGTCGATCGACTCATTTCATACAGTCCATCTCATCTCTGAACAAGTCATCCAGAAATGGATGTATTTACATACTTTTACTTTGCTCAAAGGAGCAGCAAAGACTTATAAAACTGTTATGTACTGCGTAAATGTCTCGAACTCCTCTGTATACACATGTGTTGCATTCTATTCTCATACGTTAAAAGTCAAATAAAAAATTCATTTCAAGACGAGCAAGACTTTTGTCGTCGACTAAATGAAACAATAAAAAAATTAAAACTTAACTTATTACTCGACTAGTTTTAACTTCCAAAGTGATGTGGCATACTGTACATGTTTAGACTTTGTCAAAAGACAACATAATCGGAATGAATGACACATCGACAGCACATCTATAGAGAAGATTAGTTATAATAGATCTACTATAAATAGGCTTTTTGATAGCAAATGATAGGAGAGGAGAATAAACTTGAATAATTAAAACAGAATCAAATGCCTTAGTTTCATTTTACTTTCATGAACATTTTTCATTCATTTCTAAAGTAATTCATTTAAATCCCCGTATAAAGTAAAAATATAGATAGATCTCATCAAAAATCCATCTAAACAAACGAAAATAATGTTTGATGACGAAAAACAAAAAGTGGCTAGAATTTTTAAAATAGATAATACTAGTACTTGTAGATTATAATGAGACATTGAATTGTATTAAGCAAGCATCATAGTAAATTATAATATAGCTTTTAGAAGTTCTTATTCATAGGCAAAAGAACAGAGATTTTTTTCTAAAATGTTTGATATATTTATTAAATGATATTTTTTGGTTATGCACTAGAAGGAATCCGAAGAATATGGCACCGATGTGCATAATTTGAAGAACGATTTGGAAATCATGTTAAGATTTTGACAATTATTCTTGTAACATGAATAAATTTGAGAATGGCAAGAGTTCATTGATGATAAAATGAATATTTCTTGGATTTGTATCCTTTTATACTTCACAAATCTATCATTTTCGTGTCATGCGTATGAAAGAAAAAGCATTCAAAGAATTTATGAAGTGAAAATAACATCGATGTCCGTTTCTGGAACGAGGTCGGATTAGAAAAGAGTCAACTAGTTCAAACCTGATTTCTGTCCAACTTTCACATGAGAAAAGAGTTGTGGCTTTATTTTTCATCTGTTTGATTTACTTAAAAGATAGATCTTTAATTAAAACTAATCTGTAAACTATTTTGATACAAAATGTGAAAGTATTATTTAAATCAATCGAGGACTATACATATTTGTGATCTAGATAATTAGTTTCTTATTCACAGATATAAAATTATAGGTTCTTAATCTTATGAGTTTTATTATGAAATGTAAAAAATTTTTCATTTGTTTTCGGAATGATTTTACAACTCTCGTTTCTCGAAAGAAACAAGAATGAACACAACTCGATGACACTCTAGTGTCGAGTCGATCCGTGATATAGATCTGTGTGAACTTAGATGATCTTCGTCATGTACCAAAAATCCGTTCGCAAGAGTCTGTCTTTTTTAGTCAACACTGGCTTTCAAATCGAAGAGAACTGATACTATACTATGACATTAACCTTAAAAACCGTAAAGCATTTGAACACATTCAAAAACAATATTCTCTGTTTTTCAACATACCCATATTCATGTGTTTCCACATGTTACCAAAATATACAGAACTCTCAAGCTATAATGACGATGGACTGTACACAAATGGATAGTTTTTGTTTACCTAATTTCTCCCATTTATAACAATTGTTTGTCTTTGTTTATTATTATTAAGCTCATTCTCTGAGATTATTTTCTTTATTATCAATTCCTAAGAGAAGAAGCATTCTAAAAACTTTCAAAAAGTACTACTTGAATGATATGAATGGATAGCGATTAATGTATTATTTTCAACTTAACATTCACAAATGCATTTATTTTTCTTTTAGTGATATACATACGTGTTATCTGTAGAATAAATACTTGAACTTTAGTAGAAAAATGTTATAGAGATTGTTTTTACATAGTTGCCATACCTTAGTATAGTGAAAAAAAGGTATCAAGTTTTATTTAGAGATGTAATGCTGTTACAAAAAGAGACAACTATTTAAAATACAACTAGTTTTGTAAAGACCTGTTTCCCTAGATTTCAGATTCATCGTTTATTCAAACATTGAAAAAGTAATTTTAGGGACGTTGCTGTCAACGAGTTGATTAAGCATAAAGCTACAAGTAATACTTCTTTTTATTCAAAACTTGCTAAGGTAGACTAGATTTGAACAGATAGCATCTGCGAATCATCCAAATTTCTTGTTTAAAGTAGACTGTAATTAACATTGAAAATAATAATAATTATCACAGTTGATATGAGAATTAAGTGCAGTTTGGAATGCTAGAATTACTTCTAAGAAATTCTCTTAGAAATGACAACTAGAATGGAATAGTCGTATGAAGAAGATGAACTCGATGGCGTAGCGAGGAGTTCAAATAATAAGGATGTATCAAACACAAAGCAAATACAAAAATTCTAGTTTTTTTTTGTTGCTTTCTGTTGATGATATTATAAACAACAAATAATTGTTCTCGTATATACATTTTAGTTGCTGTTACATAGAAACAGATAATGATTGTGTTACTTTTGCAGAGTCAGTATAGAGTTCTTCCTCTATTTTCGCCAGTTTAAGTCATTTTTTTTTTGTTTGATAAAATTTACCGTCTTTTTCGTTGCTGTTTTGATAATATACAATATATATAGTAATATCAGGAGAAAGAAAAAGTGAAATAGTTTATTATATGGAAAGGTCCAATCGAAAGTACACCAAGAATAACTTTGAATCATATCCTATTGACTATGCTACTATTTAATCATGAAGTAATTTCCTACTGATATAAATAAATACTTTAGAAAAAAAGAACGTTTTTTTTAAATACTTTCATCACTCATTCAATGTATTCATACTCCTGCAATAAAATAACTACATCCAAAATTTCATCAAATATTCAATAACTGTGTCCTAGAAATAAAATAAAATACTGTTGAAATGTATTCAGTATTCAATAAAAAAAAAACTATGATGAAGTTCTTATTGTTCATATATAACATAGTAATCTGACATTGATTCTTATTGTCGCGTTGTTTTTTCTTTTTGAAAACTTGCGTTTGATTGCCTCAGAATCTCAATCAGTGCGATCATTATAACTAACTCATAAGTGATAAAATCCGAACTATTGTATCGGTATAATAATAATAAATTCCACTTCTTCTTATGAGCCATTCCACGTAAGGCACGACCGATTCTCAATAGGAACGCTCAATCGAAGTTCCCTGATTTGGCTCGTTGTTATATATGTGATGGAGCAAAGTGTTTGAAGCATTTTGACGCAAGCCGATTGAAAAAATATTGAGCCGTTCGTTTTTTATAGCCATTTTAGGGTGTGGGTGTGGGTGTGGGTGCTCCTCTTACCTATTCACTACTACACCCACACTCACACACCCACACCCACACCCACACCCACACCACCCACACACCCACACCCACACCCACACCCACCCTCGATTTTCCACCGTCGATGTCTTCTAAGATACCCATCGCCGAGCCCTCGACCCATCGGAAAATGGCAAACCCAGGGGTCGATTTGAATTTCCGATGGGCAGACCTCGTGCCCCAGATAGCACCACGATACATATTACGAAAACTTCGATTCTATGCTTCTGCTAACTATCAAGTTACTCACCATCTAGCCTTGGACCCATCGAAATTTCAAATCGACCCCTGGGTTTGCCATTTTCCGATGGGTCGAGGGCTCGGCGCACCCCTCGCACGTCTTTTTTAGCTCACTTGGGTAGGATGATATATTCAATTTGAAGTAATTTCTTTTTAATTGATCCTGGAATATAATTTGTTCATAAGATAAAATGAAGATTGTGGTTTTTTCTTCTACCCCTAATTACCTGTGCTTTCAATGAAAGTTTGAAACAGAATCTCATTACACGTTTTACTTAGACAATTGAAGTATATGTTTACATTTTGATCTTTGCAACGAACTGTACAATGTGTAGTAAACACTTTTGTTTTTGAAATAGATAAGAGAAAATTATGTTCGTTTTTTCATGAGGAATATTAACTAATATTTGGAAAATAAATAAGGAAGATCGGTGCGAAATGGAGTTACGTCTATGTCGAGATGGAATTCGGTTGGAATTTCCTTAGGAATTGAACGTTTTGATGCCTTGGCTCACTCCAAATTCGAGAGACTTATTAAACAACTTGAGACTGTGCGAGTGTGGATGTAGGTGACCTATCAGAAGAAAGTTCACAAAGAAACAGCTACAACTATACCTACTCCCATTCTCTTTTATTTAGAAGACAGAACAATGTATTTTTGATTGATAAAATCGTCGTCTTAGAATGAGTAAAGAGAAAAAAGAGTAAAAAAGTATGAAAGAAGCGAACAAACTAATCAATAATATCCGTTTTTTTGTGTGGACTTGTGTTTGTAGAAACTTTCCTGAAAGAAAAAATCGAGTGAATTAATTCGACACCATAAAGTACTTGAAATATATTCAAAAAAAATATTATGCAGATGATGGAATAAAATATTAGTGATATTCTTTTAATGATTCATCGTCAGATTCATGTATTGATACAAGATAGCTGCTTTATTTGCCGTTACAACAACCACAATAAAAAACATGCCAACAATCAGCAGGACAACAACGATCACAATTATCACTAAGACAAGCATCATAATCAAAAGGTCGATAAGGAAAAGTACGACGACATTCGGCAGCACAAAGATCAAAACAAGTACAATCACTACGCTTGTTGCTTGAATGATGAAGAGAATCATCGATTTCATCGTGATGAACTGTGGTTCGTGCCATGCAGTTTGTACCCATCAATATTATGAGAATGATCAAACAAATGAAATGGCTGATCTTTTCCATTGTCCTTTGTTGCTATGTGAAACCTGAAGAGAGTGATGGATAAATATCAATAAGTATGTAAATGATATTTTTTTTTACAGTTTTGTCTCTGTTTTATATATATCTTGGTCATCAATTAAGAAGGAATCTACGAGAAAATAATCTCTAGAAAATTTGAAGTGATTAATTGCTTTGCAATGGAAAAACAAAAAAAATAAGAGGTAATCGATACCTCATCAGTTTCTCGCTGTTCGATCAACATTCAAAGATAAAAATAAATTGGAAAGATTTATTGTTGAGCGCAACTCTTCGTCACTAAATAAGATTAATGGACAATCAGGCATACAGTGAACTAAAGCTTCTGTTCTGAGCATGGATCCAATAGCTCCAAAACTAGCAAAAAATTTCGAGATCGGTCGAGTATTTACGTTGTGGTGAAATCTATCCTTGAAATATAAAGATGATTACGAAAGCAACCGAACCGTTCAGTCAAGTTCGGACGTACAATTGAATATTTTCGAACATTCGTAAGTTTTTATAGAAGTTATATCATCCCATAGTTTTCCAGTTAATTATTTAACTATTGGTAGACCTTTCATAGTCAATCTTGAAAGTCTTTTGGCTCATACGCACGTTATGCGATGAAGATTTGAGTGTATAGGCGTTGATATCGATGTGAGATGGATTGGCTATCTTAAGAGTGACGGTGGGGTACTAGTAAGATACACTCTCATCCACTCTGACTGCTATTCCATTTGAAGATAGTATCGATCTATAGAGCATAAACTTCTGCATGCATGAGATATCACTCCGACCCATTTTTGTCCGATAAATTTCAGAGAAAAGAATTGAATACCACTTTTATGAGGTATTTGAAAAATATGCATTCACCTACTCTCACCTGAGGTCATGTTGAGTAGATGTGGATGTGGTGTGATTGTGTTTGCCGGATGTGTACTTTATTTCGATTTTTCTTCGAATTCATTGCTATTTCCACACCCACACCCTTTGTGCGAGACGTTTTTGATGGAAAGTATTTTTATTTGACTTTTCCGAGAAAAAGAAATATGTGAGTAGAGTTTAAAGAATAGGTTTTTGTCGGAGTTTTCCTCGAAAATTTAACAGATTTTGTAAAACATTTTTTTAAAACTTTGGAAGTTAAATCTCTCGCCTCATATGTAGACTTTATAGAAATTTTACTTGATATCATTCTTGGCACATTTGCACTTTTTCCATTAATTATATCTATGATTTTATACAATATCTCCATAGAAATCAGATAAAACATTATTTTTTTTTCATTTTCCTCAAGTAATAGCAGTGGTTGAAGCAAAATAATGTTATCATTGTCAACGTCACCAACAAATACTCGATAATAATCCAACTGTAGTCGGATCTACTGTTACACATAATACAAATATGCATTTTTCACTTTTTCTAAATCATAATTATGAATTTTTTAATGAAGTAGTGTTGATAAGCGGAAACTTTATATTCCTATGTTTCTGAATTCTTCAATATCAAGTATTCAACATTATTAACAGTCAATAATGAGGGTGTGGGCGTGGGTGCCGTATTGTATGAAACCTACATCCTAAACTACAACCACACCCGCACTACACACTAGAGCCCGTCGGGTAGGACCCGTACCCGCTCGGATCCAGATCTGGGTCGGCTCTAGGTCTGCCGAAAACTTTGATGCATACAATGTACTGTGAATTTTTTCGAAATTTTGTTCGTTTTATGAAGAAAAAGAAATTCAAGGTATTTATAAGATAAATGGAGAACAACAAAACACTTCTTGAATATATTGTTTAAACTCATTTATCATTGTGCTTGGATCCGAAAAATTTAAGCAATCGGATCCGGGTCCAACATTTTTTAAACAATCGGGTTCGGTTCCGGGTTCGGGTCCAGCAAATTGTAAACGGATCCGGATCTGGGTGGAAAAATTTTAAATAACTGGATCCGGGTACAAAAACCTTGGACCCGATGGGCTCTAACACATACCCATCCACACCCATACCTTCATCGACAGCCATACCCTACACCCATCCATATATATTTTTTGGACTATAGGATCTAAATATTGATCATAAGGTGAGCTAAGACAGTTGGAAGCATCAATTGCGATACATTCTATGGGAGCTGATAATAAATTCGCCAAATCATTGATACTCGTTCGACACATCACCAGCATTCCAAATAGGGTGTGGGTGTGAGTGTCTGTTCAACTTTTCTTCTAACCCACACCCACACCCACATCCACACGCACCCACACCCATACCCTATTATGATTATATTTTTCACAAAACTAGTTCTCTTTCAAATATTATTTTTATCTTACTAGTTGAATAGAGATGAAATAACACAGAAAAACTAGGGTTTTGTTTTCGATCTTCACAAAAAAAGACAAAATTTCCTAAAGCTATCTATAAGAAAACAAGGTACATCCGCTACCACTTTAGGATGCTCCAAAGCATTAATCAGATAGAATTCAATAGAAAACAGGTTTTCAATTCGACCAATCCCGCATTCAGGAGCTCCTATTTTCAAGTACAAATAAACAGTAAGCCTAAATTTATACATAAGTAAATATTTTATTGTCTATTGACTCATAAAGCTAGATTTTTATCAGCTAATCAGATTCTGCGGGTAATAGACAGAAAAAAAGGACTGAACTTCATAAGATTTATATCGAATTGATAAAACACTCCTTCTGAAATTAAATTAGCTTCATCACTAGGCAATGAACTATTAACCATGTCTTTTTTTAGTTTTATTTTAAATGGACATGCACTTTTCTAGCAGATAGACAAAATAAGGAAAGTTCACTTTTCTGTTAAAATAATATCGTCACAAAATTTGACTATTTGATTGGATTTCTTGTGAACTTTCATAGACAAAATGTACGTTAAAGATCAACAAGACTGCATGAGACTTCATCAATCTTAAAGATATTTCTAGGATTTTATGGGATTTCAAAACCGAAGTCTCATTTGTTAGTGTTACAATTAAGACAAATTTGTTTTTATAATATCTTTTAAAATAATTTTTTTGTGCCTGTTTGACAATATGATGTGGGTTTATAAAAGCCTCATTTCTGAGTTTCAAACTTTGACCATGTAAAACAACGCGCTGGCAAGCTTTATTAATACATTTAATGGGGATATCTATCTTATCAACTTTGGTCATAAATGTCTGTTTTGTATTGATATCCATGAAAAATTTATGATTATCATAGGCTATTGACATGCATATCAGCATAGTAAAAACAAGTTAAGTACTTAAAATTGAAGTTTTACGAGCAATGAATAATAGATAAGGATATAAAAAGCAATCAAACACAGATCATTCTTTGTTTCATCTCTATACAAAGACACAATTTAGCTGGGTAAGCTGCAAAATTTTTGAATAGAAGATTTATCGCTCAAGACTTCTGTATTCAAATTTATTCTGTTGTGTTTAGGAAATCCTACGATAATCCCAGTAAGTCTTGCTATTTTATGTCTATATGACGTGAATCTTATCCAGCTCACTACAGCAAGTTTGTGAAGAATTCTTTTCAGTGATTAAAATGAAAATTATATCGATTTAAATAATATTCAAGAAAGTGTCTCGAAAAGTTTTTTTTTAGAAGACTTCTCTATATTTTGCAAGGATCCTGCTATCTATGATGTTGTCTACCAGGATGTTTTAAAAGTCTTGTTCAAAAACCTTTCAAAGATCAGAAAATCGCATTGCTACACATTTTGTGTAGAGCTTGGCAATTTTCTATCTAAATTCGGCGTGAAGTCCTATGATTAACTTGAAAAGGTCATTGAAAATCGTGTTTGGTTTCTTGTGAGAATTCTCACATTTTGTACTTACACACTTCTTTCAGGATTTAGTCATTGACTGAAGAACAAAAAAGGATAAATATTTGTCAAATCATCATAGGAACTTTCAAGCATCTAGGAAACGAACACCAAGAATTTTTACTAGAGAGCTTATAGATATTATAAACAATTAAATAATATTTGTTGTATAAGTAGTAATTATGAAATATTAGATAAGAAAAAAATTAGATGCATATAGCTTTTTGATTTTCAGAATAGTTCTAATTTTGAAATAAACGTATTCTTCTCAGTTCTATTAAAGATAGGTTTCCTTACAAAGAAGGACATGGATGTTTGTATGAATATTAGTGTGCATATCAATGTCGGTTCTCTTTATGACTACACCAACACATGTTGATTATTTTGATTCATCACATATGATTTCTTTTTGACAGAGTGTGAATGTAAATGTGAATCAAGATGAAAATGACCACACAGACACGTAAATCATTGATACACATACCATTCTAAAGGTTGAGTAGTTTGAGAGAATAAGAAATATTAGCAGTAATATAGTTGTTTTCTATAAATCGGAGAAATTTCAAAGTACAACGCATCTGTAAGTTAGATGTCAGAAAAGAATCGAGCAGTCCGATAATTCGGTTCGATTTGATTTTATTCGACTGAAGTCACACACTTCATAGGTCGAGATGTATCATGGTCTCGTTATAGGTAGAGTATTCCAATACTAGTTTTTTACATTATATACCCTATGTGATAATACTGTTTCTATCTTGCTTTATGTATTACAAAATTTGCAAAAGTTCATATATATTTCCTGTTGCCTGGGTCCTCATTCTATTTGTCTGAAATAGAGACGAAACATACATTATCTACTCTTCAAACTTTAGGCCGTTAATTTCTAAATTTAGGACATTAGGTAAGTGTGAAAAAAAATTAATTATTAGTTACTGACAGTAGCTAAACATAGAACAGAAGTCTAAATATAAAACTGCCTGTTCATGTTTGTGATCATCTTCGTTTGCATTTTATCGCATATCAAGCATACAAGATATGCAGAAAATTGAGTGCGAATATGAGTGAATAGAATACGCCGTGCTAATTCGCTCAAATTCCTTAAGTTTATAGTAGATA